CCCAGTTTCCCTCCTTTCTCTTTTTTCTTGGGGGGAATTCCCCTAGAAAATGTTTTCGGCTCCCCAAAGTTGACCCTTTTTAAAGGGCACGGGTTTGGATCCATGTTTTTTAAAAACATTTTCCCCAAAAATGTTCGTTTAGGACTGGTTTTACCTGGCCCAGTTAAATTTTTCTTGTTGTTGAAATGTATTTTGTAAAGACACCTCACAGGTACTGCATTCTGCTGTTCAGCTCCTATGCATGTACGTCGGTTTTCGATTAGTGTGATCGGAATTTTTTGTTTTTGATATTTTTAGTCTTTACAGTCCTCTTTTTGTGAAGATAAGGTCAATGTGTTTTCTAGTCTTGTGGCTGGCTCCATATCTGCTGCCTTAGGTGTTTTTTTCGCAGAGACTTAGTAGCTCATGTGTGGGTGTGCCCTTTTTCATCGCGCTACCCCCGGGGGGATTTTTTCAGCTTAACTTTTTTGCAAATTTTCCATTTTGTATGCCTTTAAAGGGTTGAAACCCAAGCAGTAAGAGGGTTTGGGGATGGAGCGGGAAAGGGTTTTTCCAAAACATAATTCGATTTCAGTGCTTTTCCCCTTGAACTTTTTGGGGTTGCTCGGGGTGGCTTGTATACAACCACAATGACTTTTTTTTGGGTTCTCAAATTTTTATTGATGAACTTCAACTACCTCTTTTGTGGTTTTTCAGCAACCCCGTGCAGAAAGGGATCTTTGACAACGGGCCCAAACCCCCCCCCCCCCCTTGTTGCCTGCTTTTTCTGTCGCATCAAAAAAGGGTTTTGAAACCATTTCCCTATTTCACTGTCAAAGTGATTTTTTGTGTGAGTCTCTGTAAAGGGCTGCAAACATTGCATTAGACTCCACTAGAATCCACTGAAAAAAGGGTATTTTGTGTTGGGGGATGGTTAAGGCCCTGTATATTACAAATTGAACGAGGTTGTATTCTGTGTTTTTTTGGGGGGTTTTTGTTATGGCATCAGTAGTTGTAATTCTGGGGGGCCATGGGGGGCCCACTGGCTGCGCCTCCAGTCCAAAAGGCTCCAAGTGGTGGGACTATTTTTGTTATTTCCTTCATTTTTTTTTTTTCTTTTTCCTGCCACTAAAAAATACCGGGAGGGGGTTGTGTAGCTACTATTGTTTGTTTGTGGGGTCTGTGCCCCCTAGTCCTTTTAGATGGGATGCAGGGACCCCTGTTTGTAACACTCTTTGGAGGCCCGGGGGTGGCCACATTTTTGGGGAAAGAAAGTACAGGAAGAAGAACGACACACTCCCTTTTGACAGGAGGTCGCAAAATTTTTTTTGGGGGGTCAAAGTTTAGGGCCCCTTTTTTTCCCTTATTCCCTGTTAAGATGCCCCCCCAAGCAAAATTTGCACAATTACCTTTGGTTAGAAATTGTTGGGGGTGTGTTGTCAATTTCCAGGTTCTGGGACTTTCACATAACCCCCATATCCAAGCCCGGGCCCCCGTCCCGGATTCCATCTACTTTCCCCAGTAAGGGGAAAAAGGAGGAGACTCCTCTCCAAAATCTGTACTGTGGGCCCCGTCTTGTGCAATGATGGTTTTATATTTCTGTTTTTGTGGTGGTTTGGGGAGTGTCCCTAGGAAGGTCTGGGGTGGCAGAAGGCTGGGGGGGTGGGTTGGGCAGCACGGGGGGTGGGGGGGGGGGCTGTTATAGAGCATTTTTGGGCAAATAATCCTTTTGCCCCAGGGTGGACCCACACCAGCCGACTAATACACGGGGATTTTTTTTTATGTTAGGTGACAAGAGTACAGGTGTTTTAAAGGAAACACCCTAATATTTTCTACCCGTAGGGGGAATCAAACCGGGGCCCTCAGTGTTGACTGAGTGCGCTACGGACACCATAGGCAAGTATTATCTTTTATTGACCCATTCTACGGAGGTATTCTGGGGATCAACGCCCCCACGGTCCGGTCCACGATCCCCCTCAGTGGATCAGGCCTGTCAACCAAGCTGTTCCCCTGGCCCTTGTCCAACGTACAACCCAGCCCGGTTTTTTCCGGCACCGTCTTTAGTCCCCTCCCCAGCTCCCTCTTAAAGGTATCCGGGGGCCCTATTAGTAATTCCCCTTATGCCGGGCGGGGGGCTGTTGAGAGTCTAGGGCCCCGACACTTATTGTGTTTTCTCTTAGGTACCAGTGGTGCCCCTACTTTCCCTTTTGGGGGATTTTGCCCCGTGTCCCCTATAGTATAATAATAAAAATAATAAAAATTAATAATAAATAATAATAAATAATAAAAAAATAATAATAATAAAAAAAATAATTTAAAATAATAATAATAATAATAAAATAATAATAATAATAATGAAATACAGTAGTGCCCCATTTATACGGCAGGTTCCAGGCTATCGCCGGAAAGCAGAACGCCATTTCATTTAAATGCCAGACAACAAGTTTACACTAACATATATTAAGTTGGCAATAGAACTAGACATTAAAAAACACAATAAAAAGTAATATACACAGTACATTCATTACTTACCTTAAAATATTTGTGGTCTTAATGTAGAGCGAGAGGTGAGTAGTACTTGTTTGTAGCAAGTCAGGTGTTGGTAGCCCTGGCTCCCCGTCACGAACTTAATATACAATATTTAAAACAGCCCAGAGAGATAAAATACCATACAGTACACTTTTTTTTTTTACCTTAAAATAGTGTGTTAATGTGGATAGAGGTGAGTAATTTTTTTGTGGGAAGTCAATGTAGGTATCCGGTGGGGTTTACCCCCTCCCAACCCATATTTTTTACCTCAACATACCTTTTTTTATTCAAATAATCCTTTTAAAAACTCCCTTTTAGATACCACCATAAACGAAGGGAGAAAAATGAATATTCATTCCGAAATTGTAAAAAAAAGCGGAGTGATGCTGCCAACCGCAATTCATAAACATTTTCTTGATGCTGGCCCAGAGAAAAAAGTAATGTTTTTCCCCCAACCCCAGCTATGAACATGCATTGTTTCTATTTAATTTTTGAAGAAAATACATAGATGGATTAAGAAAAGTTTATATTAAAAGAAAAATAAGACTTTAAAATGGCCCCAGAAATTTAATATTAGTACTATTAGTATGACTATGGCTTTAAGACTACTGATTTTAAGTTACCTGCTTCCAGCACGTGTGTAAGTTTTTTT